CCGCATCGATCCTTCTCTGAAAAATCGTCGGTGCAGATTGGCGTGGTGCCGGCAGGTAGAACCAGGGGTCCGCGGCACGCTGCGGGTGAACCATGGCGAGCGAGCTCAGCTCGTAGGGGAGCGTCGTTTGCTGGGGCGGTGATCTGCCGGCGACACCCGCGCACCAGTGCGACCACGGGGATTGGGGTGCAACCGCGCTGCCGCTGCCAGCTGCCAAACTGAGACTCGCAGCTCGACGCTGCCTTCATCAGCAAAAAACGCTTGAGGCGTTCACCGAAACGCTGAGCGCGCCGGTCTTGCTGTAACTCCAGATGTAGACGCGCCTCGTGGTTGGTTCAGTCGAGCCATGTAGCGAGCGCCGCTAAAATGTCAACCATCGTGTACGCCGTAAACTTGGACGGCACACTATCCTCGACCCGGATGTCACCGTTGTCAACATGCAGATGGTACCTAGTCACCCGTCCTTTATCCAGTCGGTCGATTCCTGCTTCACACGCAGGAGGTGTGGCGTTGTCCCTTCCCATTGACGTTGGCATCAGAACCATCAAGTCGGTACTTGAGATCAGGCTTGACGGCATGTCATAGTGTGAAGATGCACGAAAACCAAAAGCGTTTGCCTCTATCACGACCAAAGACGCCCAGTCCGAGTGGCGCATGACTCGGCTGCGCCCGAAGACGTAAACACGAGTTACCGCGTGCCCCGGTTGCGTCCGAAGACGCCTTGACAGTCCGAGTGGTGAGTAGCTTAGCCTCGCCCATAAGTGCCCACAGGCCCAGTTGCGGTTGGTGATTACGCCGAGACGACAGAGTCGCTGGTGCCGGCACTGTTGCCGAACCGAGAGGATGTAGTTGCGTGATTTGTCTAAGGTGGGTCGCACGAGTACCCACATTGGCAGCTTCACGGCTCCAAGTCCGCCCTCAAAGCCCCCCCAGTGCGCCACCGGGCGGTGTTGGTGAGAGCCATCGCGACCGTGTGAATGCGCAGCCGCCCGTCAACACCGGTGCACCATTTGCACCGTCATCAATGGAGGCGCAGCCAGAGCGTCTGACGGAATTGGTGAGTGTGCCTAGTCGGCGTGGCTTTCACTGCCGCCTTGACTGCGACTTTTCGATAGCCTGTCGTGTTGCCACCGCCAGGTGGCTTGCCATGCTGGCCGTGGGCTGGGTCACGGGTCTGCGCCCGGAAAGCTTGTGATGGTTGCGACGGCACCAGCGACGTCGCAGGCTGCCGTCGCGAGGGGGAAAAAGAGAAAAAACCGCGAACGTCTTGTGAGCTGCTCTACTGATGATGTCGCAATGTTGGGAAAACTTGTCGGCGTAGTCGAGCAGATCAATGCCCAAGGCAAGTGCACCCTCGTCGTACACACTGAGGTCGCGGAGCCGGACGTGTAGATGTAGACAGACACAGAGCGAAGTTGACGCGCCAGTTGAACAAAAAACCAAGTTGCCGAGACGGGTATAACGGACCGTATCGCACTCACCCACGAGCGCCAGGGACGCAATTGGCAGGGG